AGGAAAGGAAGTGGTGTCCAGCTAACCCATCTTTTCAAATGCTTCCAAGTGCTTTCAAATTGTATGTAAAATGAGACTTAAAAAGGAAAAGAAAGAGGAAGCGTCGTCTATTTTTAAAGCATTGTACTGGATTTAGAAGATCCAGGCTGAGACTTCAGCTCTGCAGTAGGCTTTCTACCGTACCTTTGGTAGGTTACTGGAACAGAGAGTTGGAAAACTGCCAAGTTGTTCTTTCATCGGGAAGGTTGAGTGCGTTGAAACTGGAATAACACTGTACTGATCACAGCAAGAACGCTGTTTCTAGTTTGAATGAGTGTGTGCATGCTCTTATACATGCCTTACACTCAAAAACCCTGTGGTGGGGCATTTGCTGAGAAGGTCCTAGGTGAAATTCTCTTCTGTTTGATTACAACCAAAGATTTGAATCTGTTTTGGAGGTAGCAGGGAGGTCTTAGCTGTTCTGGGCAGGGGTAACATTAATGTCCCTTTCCTCTCTCAAAGGATCTTGGTTTCATTTTGCTGCAGCACGGGAAGGATTTTGAGATCCCAGGCTCTTTTGTAGCAGGAAAAGCAATTTTTATGTTGAGCTTTGTGAATTGCTTAACATCTCAGAGCTTTTATACCTAATCTGTAAAATGAAAGGAGAAGGATTATTTTGTTTTCTTTTCTGAGTCACTGCCTGTGTTTGGACTTTAAGCTCTTTGGGATAGATATTTCTGCATACACATTCTGTTGTAATACTGTGCTGATTGGTTATTGTCCTGTTATTGTATTATGGAAAATCAACATCAAGACAAATATTTGTCACATTTTGTCCTCTTTCAGAAAAAACATTTGTAGTGAATTGATGTTCAAATGCTGAAAACATTTCCATCTCTAGCACAGAACAGTGATTCATAATTATACAGGAATCTATATACAGGGTTTGCATTTTAAGCATTACATTGTACCTTGCAAGCCATGTGAATATTTCCAGACCTTTATAAAGCGTGGCTGAAATGCAGTGCTCGTGCAGCAGAACAGCTGACCCATGGCAGAGCGAGTCCTCACTGCGGTTACTTGTCCTGCGCAGGTAACTGAGATACAGGGACTGGGCCGAGGGCCCTCGGCAGATGCTGCCAGAACAAGGGGTTGGATACAGAGTCTTTGAACTTGACTCTGTTGCCCTCTTCTTCACTTAGGGAGAAGGTTAAGTGTGAGAGACAGACCAATGCCAAATCCAGCTAAGGGGTTGTTAGGAGGCAGCAGTTACAATAGAAGCTGTAGAAGTCACGTTGCCTTGGGATTATCCTCCCTGAGCAGTTTCTCTTGGAAAATGTCCTGTGTACAAATTAGGGATTTAATTCTGAACATGAAGAACTTGCTGTAGGGGCTGTGCTCGATGATGTTCCCTGTCCTGGAGGAGGCAGGATACTTCCCTGTCCCAAGGAAGCAGGGTGAGGGATGCAGGTATAGCTGCCAAGCAAAATAAATCCTGTGGTGTAAGCTATCGTCACTTTGGGAGTGGGGAGAAATGAAAACTGAAAGGAAGAGAGGGAGATAGCAATGCAAGTAAGAGAGGTGGAGCAATCAGATGGAAAGGAGATCCAGGACAAGAGAAATTTAAAGCTAAAAGCCCAGCTGCACACTGCAGAGAAACACGTCCGGTGGTTGGAACGTTCAGTAAGTCTCCAGACCTTCTGGGTCCTTTCTCCACTGTCCCAGGCTGCGCAGCAAAGAGAAGGGGAGGAAGCCTCAAGCTTAGGTCTCCACTGTCCACTACTTATTTCTGTACCCAGGGATGATTTTGCACGGGTCAAATCTTTGCTCTGGTGGCAGCAGCTGCTGCTGTGGGCCATCACTGTGGGCTGCAACCTTCTGCTTGTGCTTTTAAAGCAGTAGTAGCCTTGTTGGCATTGCAGGGCCTTTCACTGCATCCAGCGTGGTGTACACCACGTCAGGTGGGTGAGCCCGGAGGAGTAGAAGGGATTTATTTCACTGATCTCGGGGAATTGCCTTGATTTGAGCCATTCGTCACTCTCAGTTTGTGATCTTCTGTGGATATCACCCAGACAGTGTTTTTACTTTTTGTATCTATCTCTTCCGGATATTTCTTGATGTCAGATGGATGGGAAACAGGACTGTTGTGTCCTCACTCTGCTCAGCAAACAGGCCTTTCTCCAAAGACACTTCCTAAACTGGTGAATACTATCTAATCCCCTATTCTAGCTCTAAAGCTTGGAGTAGGATCAGAGAATAGTTTTTCCTACCTGGGCCTCTCATTCATAAAATAACAGGCAAAACTTGGCTTGCAGTTGGAGATTGTTATCAAAGTCTAGAAGCGATGGTGGAGTAGGATCTGGAAACGCTCTCCCCCTTGACGCAAGCACACAGAGTCTATACAAACCCTCTTTTTTCCATCCACTTCCATTCTTTCCCTCCTTCCTTTTTTTCTGTTCCACCGCCTGTTTTTCTCCCTCTGGTTTGGGGAAATGCAGGAGTCCCTTGTTTTCAGGTTGTACTCAGTAACCACCTAAGCTTCCCTCAAATGCTGGTAGGTACAAGAATCTCTCCATTAAAAAAGACTTTATGCCTTACAGAATAGGTGTCTAACCTTGTACAGACTTGAAAGTAAATACAGAGTAACTAGAGTTTCTTGCTTCATTAAACAAATATCAGAAGAACCATTTCCAAGTCTTTTATTTTAAATTATTTTTCTGGAGGAACCTAGGAACTTCCTTCTCTTCAGTGAAAACTGTCGGGTACAGAATTGTTTCTATCTCTGCTAATTGCTAACAAACATTGCTAAATGGTAACAATTAGCCTAATATTTTGGTCATGACTAGTTTGTTTTTTTTAAAAAAAAGCCTTCCTCTTAGCAAGTTCATTACAAAACTTGTGCTACTGACTATGTTAAATATTAGTAGCATCAAAGAAGAGTGAGCACATATTTCCAGAGTTGAATGCCCTTATCCAAAAAGATACTTGGAACTTTGCTGTGAAGACCTGTTATTTCACATGGCTATGTAGATCAGAACAGACTTTGAAATCGTCTTGTGCATACTGAGACATGCTACTTTCTGTATTTGATTTTTTTTTAACCTTTAAAGTTTTCAGTTATGAAGTATCATGAGACACCTAAGCTTTATCAGTAGATGCTGTAAGTTGAGTCTGTATAAGTGCTCCTCAACAAGACAGCCAACGGATGTGTATAATTATAGACCATTGCATGGGGAGAGATTCATAAATGGCTGATCTGTAGCTAGGAATGGTTTGGAGGTGTAACCTTGAGACTGACTTGTATGCATGAAAATCATTTTGAAGATTGAGTGACTAGCGATTAGTAAGACAAGATGAAAAATGTTTTTGCCCTGCCAGCTGACCTTCTGCAGATCGAGACTGGTTTTCCACAGAGCAGTGCTAGCAAGAAGGAGAATGGGTTATGCAATTTGTTGTTGTAATTTGCATATTTATTCAAGTGTATCTTCCCAGTGACCTCCTAATAGCTGAGCAGTGTCAGATGACAGCACTTTTGCTGTCCTTGTTGTCTGCCAGGTTATCAGGCTGGCTTGTTCAGGGAACGGGAAGGGCCAGGCTGGGTTCCTGTCCATGTGGAAGCAGTCACTGGGGCTATAGGAAAAAAGCCTTCTTTCCAGACTCAAAACCAGAGTGTTCATAGATGTATCTTTAATTTCATGGAGTGGGGCAGAGGGGCTGGGAGACGTGGGCAACCACCCAAGTGTTACCAAGGATCTGGTCTTGGTGAAGTTGAAAATCTTCTGGTTGCTCAAGCCAAAGCTCATGAGGCTTGCCTGGCACTGATATGAACTGGGTTTGGATACAGCCATAGTGGAGACATCCTTTCTGCCACTCTTGATGGTTACTGATGACATACCTGTGTACTGAAGCTGGGGGGAACAACTCCTTTTGCAAATAATAGAGCAGCTTTCACAAGTGGTGGAGGCCCAGGACGGGAATCAGAACTGACTCTCCTGCTTGTCTGTGCAATGCAGAAGCTGCTGTAATATGGAGCAGAAGCAACCGCCTGGTTTCACGTTCACCAGCACCTTACATTACCCAGGGGTCTTTACCTGTTTCCTGTTGAATTGTCTGCAGTTTGAGATTTGCTGTAAGGATGACCATCTCTTGAACACCAACATGTGATTTTATTTTATTTTATTTTTTCAAACTGTGTTCTCAAATTCAGATTCCCTTATTTATATTAAAAAATAGATTGTGGTATTGCTTCATGCCAGCTGAATATTTAAGAAATAATTTACTCTTACCCAAATTCTGAAATATTCTTGCAGCTCAGCTAGATCAAATTAAATTTTAATTAAAAAAAATAAAAATGTGTTTACTTGAACCAAAACATTGCAAAGCAATAAACTAGTGGATTAAATACAGATTTGGGAAAATAATGCGATATAAATATGCTAACTATGCAGAATATTTTTGAGAACTAAATTTCTGTTAGGCTTCTGTTTGGATTTCACTTTAAAAAAATGCTTGTAACCACTTAGGGACTAAAAACTTTTGGTGGTATGTGACCAAGGCGAGTGTCCTGGAAAATACATTCAGCCTTAGAAGCAGTAGCAAGTTGAGCAGAAGCAGGCAGGCAGGAGCAAGTGAGAAAGTCTTACTGCAATGTTTCCTTGAAGTTCACTTTTTTTCTCCTCCATTTCCCTTGTAAAAATACATGCTTTTTATAGAATCAGTATATTATTATCCTGTACTTTAGAGAGAATTTTTGGTATACTTTTAATAAATGAATTTAATGACAGAATAGATCTGGATAAGATATGAATATTTATGTTCAGCAGTTTCTTCCTGGGAGTAATGAGCTTTGACGAATTAAATAATGTTTAAGGCTTTTAAGTACTGTTTTATTTTCAAAAGAATATCTTACCATATAAACATGGTTTCTGTCTTGTTTTGTCACTGATGTCCTTGCCAACCAGATTTCAAAAGTGAAACATCGAAAGATAATTCAATGTCTGTCTGTCTCTCACCCCGTCTAGATTATCAGCGTCTGATGACAGTGGCGGAGGGGATCACGACGCTGCTGTTCCCATTTCAGTGGCAGCATGTGTACGTCCCCATCCTTCCTGCCTCTCTCTTGCATTTTCTGGACGCTCCCGTTCCCTACCTGATGGGGCTGCAGTCCAAGGAGGGAACCGACCGCTCCAAGCTGGAGCTGCCTCAGGAGGTCAGTCTCTCGCCTTTGGCATTGCTACCCTGAAATGTGTTATTAATATTTGCGTGAATCTCTGCTGAAAAATGCTATGCCTGGTGTTAGGAGGCTTCGCTGGCACCATGAAGACTGTTTGCTGGCAGGAGTGAGGTGGTAGGGGGAGTCTCCACAGCCCTTCTTGGTCCATATCTGAATTTAATTACATTGACTTCTAAAGGCTTCTGCTTCTTGCTATGATGCTGAAAGTTTCTCTGCTTTCCCCACCTCACACACTTCACCAGGTTTTGTCAGTGTCACAGTCCTACTGACAGAGAGCTAAAGGGCATTTCATTTGGTCTTTATGAATCTGGATCTCGGATACAGTTACTAGATGGTGTAAACCTGTCCCTGTCCCCCCACTGCTGATGAGATGCATGCCCCATCCTGCCAGCCGTGTCCCACTCACGGGTGAGCCCACGTGTTCCTGGCTGGGTCGAAGTCTATTACTAGACCAGCGTCCTGGCCTCAAACAAGCCAGATATGCGTTAATGCTATGCCTGTGAACCACTTGGAGGCATACACACACACGTGCTTTTATTGCCTACTCCAATTATAGCCTTTTGGACTAAAGGTCTTTTCTGTCCTCCCATGTGATAGGAAGTGAAAATTTTGCCTGGTCTATCACTTTTTCCTGGAGAGAAAAATGAAGGAAAGGTTGTCCTCCTTATCTAAGTGTTAAAAACACCGGTGGTAGGGAGTGAAATGGAGATTTTTCTCCTGAAAATTTGACCAAGATGATTAAAACGGCTTTGCCTTTTAACCTGGCCACTGATGACTGTCCATACTGCAAAGTCTTTGGGGTATTGCTAGCCTGTCTGCATCTGAGATGGTGACTGGACCCATCTCTTGAGCTTGCCATGCATTTTAACTTGGATTTCTTCTTAAAATCAGTGGAAACCCTAATAATAATGATATGGCTGTATGGCTGCAACATCTCATGAAGGTGGCACTGCTGTGCTCAGCTCCATGCGGGGACCTCTCCTGGGGGCAGAGTCCCTAAGGCTTGTGAAAGGTACTCTTACTGAGAAGGCGGGTGGGAGCAGCCGCAGGGGAGAATATGCAGGAGGGGAGTTTGTGTGTGGGAGTGGAGGGATAAACACAGGGCAAGGATAATACAGTTCTTAATACTTATTTTAGGTATTAGATGAAGGTGACTGACTGATTCTTAGCCTAGGTGGCATGTAACAGTGCAAATCAAGTCTTACCTCATGGATACAATGGCCCAATCATATGAAATTTGCATTGGCGTGGAAAAGAAGCTGCTATCTAGCTACACTTTTCAGTAAAACCATGCTAATATTACATAATTACTGCGATTTTAAAAAGTATTAGTCATATGCTTTTAGTTAGTAGATTAAGCTGTAGTTTTCCTTAAATTAAAATTTTAATGTGATGGGCTTGCAGTGTCACTTGAATAACAAATTAAATATCGCCAGTAAGGAAAGAGTAATAGTGGCGTGGAATATACCCCCCGTTACAATGTTTGACAAATGAGTGAAAAAGCACAGCATTTATGAACACCACAGGTCCAGTAACTGTGGGAAAGGGAAATAAGGAAGGGGTATTGAACAGGGAAGATCTTGAATCTCAAATTCCTCTAGACAATAAAAAATAGAAAATCCTTCAACATGCAAACAGTGACGAAGCACTGTTCACTTTAGCATTCCTTTATTGTTCAGGCGAGGGGCTAGCTTTTCAAGCTCTTGGTCTAAATACACACACACACATTTGTTCGTTAGAGATAAAAATTCTAACAACTGGCCATCGTGCTGTCTTAAGGTTACAAATCCCTCTGCATTAACTTTAATCATCAGATGTTTTTGAAGAGAAGTGAGACCAATTCCCCAAGGGTTTTCTGAATCCAAATCTCATTTTTCAAATTTTGTAAATGATATGCAGAGATGAAATTAAAAAGCCTTTGAAATTAAATATTGATAGATAAGAAGACAGTCCCTGAGCTAAAGAACTGTACTGATGCATACCACAACTCTTCAATAGCTGTATAGTTAAGTAATTTTGTATGAAGAAATGCTTTTCTTTGTACAGTCCGAATTTATTATGAAAAAGTGAGCTGAAGGGACGCTTCTGCTTTACCAAGCAAATCCTAATACCCTTTAAAGTATCTATGTGAAAGGTGATTAAGCTCAAGCATATCCAATATATTATAACAATGTTTGCTCTGGGATGTATTTTGAAAATTAACCTTTTCAGAAAAGGAGGAAAATAAGTCCTTTCTGTTCACGTAATCTGAAGATTAGTCTACAGTGTTTGGTGAGAAGTAAAGAACAGTAGAAGTGCCTTGGAGAAGGTGGAGGAGCTGTGCTGATGGCCAGGTCAGGCTAACAAAGACCTGCTGCTGCCCTGTGGGTTTCCTGCATCTCCCGTTCTGCACCTTTATGCCAGGGTAAAATCCTTCAGAGCTGAGCACCTTGGGAGTCTGACCTGGTTTAAGATTTTATTCAGTACAGTGCACTCAGACAGTGAATTTCAGATGTAAGCCACAGTTCAGAAGATCAATTACTGTTTTTCATTCTGCTGTTATTCCTGAGGGTGCATTTGCAATGTAATTAATTTTTATGTAGGGTTCTTCCACCCCTCCATTGACACTTTCCTAGTAAAAGTATCTGCTCCACTAGATTCATGTCTTCATTTAGCTTTAATCTTATGGGCTGAGATTCATCTCCATGTGTAGCATAGCTGTCTAAGAGCACTCTGTTTAAATCTTGGGCAGAGGAATTGCCAAGATTAAAAGCCTCCATGGAAACAGGGTGGTAGGGAGTGGGGAAATAAGGCTTGACCTCCAGTGGACAAGCTATACTCAGACATGATCCCAAAGGATTTGCATGGGACCCTCTTTGCTCATAGCAGCACCATCTTTCTCAGTGAACATCTCATTCCTTGGTAGCACAGCCACAGAGGCTTCTTGCAGTTGGATCCTGGTAAAAAAAATGTGCCCTTCAGGTGTAGTAATTCACACAAATAGTTTTTACATGGGCTGAGAAGTGGTGCTGTACATCCTGCTTGCTGGTATGTCCTTGGCTGGTCTGGGAGGGATTATCAAATCTTTGTAGTGGGAAGTTTGGATCTGCAAGTCCCAGGAGAACAGGAGGGGGCAGGAGGCTTTATTTATTCGTTAAATCATTGCCATCCAGTTGGCCCCCAGCTTTGCTGAAGTCTGAAATGTCACAGGCTAGATGATGCAGCTTAAGTCTCAGGCATATGTGTGCTCTTGTCCTTTTGTCTGGAAGCACTCTGGGAAAACAGAGCTACTTAGCAGATGAACCAATTCACTGCTGAGCATCCGTTTTGAAACTTTTCTTTGTGTTTCAGGCAAACTTGTGCTTTGTAGACATTGATAACCATTTCATTGAACTGCCAGAGGAATTCCCTCAGTTCCCCAACAAGCTGGAGTTTATCCAGGAAATCTCTGAAGTTCTCCTGCAGTTTGGGATCCCACCGGAGGGTAACCTGCACTGCAGTGACAGCGCCACCAAACTCAAGAACCTGGTTCTTAGTGACCTGGTGAACGACAAGAAGAACGGAAACATCCCTGCCAATGCCCTCAACATGTATGAGCTGCTGAAAGGCAACGAGACGATCGCCCGCCTGCAAGCCCTCACCAAGAGAACGGGTGTGACGATGGAAAAAATGACCATCACGGCTCCCCTCGTGGAGAAGGAGAAGGATGGGAAAGTGCCATGTGAGGAGGTGGAGCTGAGGGACTACAAACTGAACGTGCAGCTTCGCGAGGTTTTCGCCAACCGCTTCACGCAGATGTTCGCAGACTACGAGGCTTTCGTCATTCAGGCTGCCCCTGATATGGAGTCATGGCTGACAAACAGGGAACAAATGCAGAACTTTGACAAAGTAAAGATAGCCGTGCATTCATTTTTCCATCTAAAAGTGCTTTTGGGAGGGAGGGAGAATAGCTATATTATGTATATATGGCCTAGGTACTCTTTAATCCACCGTTCTTCATCTGCCTTACTGAGAGATTTGTCCATTTTGATTACACAGGGCCAGATCGCCAGCCAAAGTAAATTGGTGCAGATCCACTGAGCCGGTCAGAGCTGTCCTGGCTTGTAGGAACCAAGCTGGCAGGCTCCTGCCCAGCTGATGGGGCTTCTCCTGTGGGTTTGGTGGAAGGGTAACAATGGGAAGGGACTTTTTTTTTTTTTTTTTTTTTTTTTCTTTGCTGAGAGGAAAGATGCACACAAAAGACAAAAAAAAATTCAGTCTTTCTTGTTTCCTAATCTCACAGTAGCGCTTTTTGTTAATTGGTAGCGTTGTTCTGTAGAAGGTTATCACATCCTTATGGCAGAAGAGTACTGTTATGACTCCCTTGTAGTGTTTGCACAAGAGTGAAAAGGAAGCAGAGATTAGAAATGGGGAAATAAAGAGACTGTAGGCCAGCAAAAGGAATGAGAAACATTTGGAAACTTGCACAGTTATTATTTCCAAGTGACTTTGCAAAGTAGATAGCACTCTTAGCCATCAGTTTTTTCAGATGCAAGTCCTTCTCCAAGGAGAATATTAGATAAACAGTCAGGAACAGACTAAATATTGATCTGAGGCAGTTTTTGATTAAAAAAAAAAAATGCTGCCATGCCTTTTATTGGCCTTGTTTGTATTCAAGTGTTGAACAGCATTCAAAAGGAGGGGATTGTTTAGGCAATCTCTGCTAGTACTTCTACAAGAAAATGGACTGTGTTAGAGTTTTCAAAGCTCAGTTAGAGACTTAGGCATACACTGGGTTTTAATTGGAAATTCATGATTAATTGTCCTCCTTAACTTCGCAAAAGAGCATTAGCTGAAGAGCACTGTACACCCCTTGATATGTATAACACCTTCCTTAATAAGTGATCTGGTCCCAAGTAGGGATGTGCAGACCTGTGGTGCCAAGCGGGCACACGTGGCGGTAGTCCGCTGCGGTGGTAGTGCATGGGCACTACTTCCATAACTCCATATTCCCTTTACTCTAGCTGTCATGAAGCCTCCCTGACTGCTTGTTTCTCACAGTCGTGACCAAAGACGTGACCTGTGAGCCAAACGCCTTTGTAGACGGATTCACGCCTCTCTCAGAGGTGTTTTTGTGGTGGGGAAGCCTTGTCCAAGCCTTCCCGTTGGCTGCTGGATTGGTTCTCTGTCACAGGATGGCTTGTAGTGTTGACGCCAGGTGGGAACGTGGCACTAACGAGCTGTTCTGTATTTCAGGCTTCCTTCCTTTCGGACCAACCCGAGCCTTACCTCCCATTCCTTTCACACTTCATCGAAACACAGATGTTTGCAACGTTCATAGACAATAAGATAATCTCCCAGTGGGAAGAGAAGGACCCTTTTCTGCGAGTTTTTGACTCCCGAATTGAGAAAATAAGGCTATATAATGTAAGGGCCCCTGCACTGCGGACATCCAACTATCAGAAATGCAGCACTTTGAAAGAAGCAGGTATGTTCAGATGGGCTAGTAAAATATTCAAAAGTACAATGTCAGCCACAAGGAAATATAGGTCCTCAGTCATCTGAGCGTTGCAGCTGGGGAGGAAGCCCTACAGCTACCTGAGAAGGACTCAGCGGTGCCCTTATTTTCCCTAGGCAAAAACTTCAGCATGCTTTTAAACGCTAAAAACAGTGGGAGCCTATACCTTCCCTTCAAGCTCTCCTAGGCTGGTGCCTTTAACAAACACAAACCACACCACGGAGCTGGGCTCACCATTTCTCATTTCAGGCAGCTCCTGTTCCATTGCTAGGAGAGCTTTCCTTCGCCATGGTGGTGGGACCAGTGCCAGCCACACCGAGGAGCTGAGCCCCGGTGGCTGATCCACTGGCCTCGTCTCCCCCTTCCCGTAAAAGACCTTTTTTTTGGCCTTACGCCATTTGGTTAGAGCAGCAGGGAATGCTGGGGACCAAATCCTGTGTAGCATATTTAGTAGCTCCAGCAATAGATGCTCAGTGTTAATGAACAAGACCCTGTGTACTAAAGATTTGGATTTTTTTTTCCATTACAGTCACAGGATGCATTTTCAAATCATACTTGAGTTTCTTGCTGTGCAAGTATTTATTTTATTTCCAAGTAATACAGGGAAATTACAGTCTTAAATTTGTTGAGACACATATTAATGAACTGGGGCAAACACATTTCTCATGGGGTTTTTTTGTTGAATTCCTTCAGAGTGTTTTACTTGTTACAAATGTGGCAGAAATAGAAATCCTGTGTCTGCTTAACTTTCTATTTAAAACCAATTCTAATTTGCAGGTCGACTGTCTATTCAGCGTCTAGTTTTGGTAGATATTGTGGCACCGGAACCTCATTTTCTGTCTTGTGAAAAGCAGCAAACTGATAGTAATACCAACTTTCCTTCATATTTACCATTCACAATATATGTGACCCTGTCACCGATCCAGCACCTGTTTGTTTAACCTACTATTTCTGGAACCCTTCAAACCCCCTGATCCCACACTACTGAGTCCTTTTCTCCAAAATAAGACCACAAGAAGTGATTTTTAAATTTATTTTTTTTTAGAAGGGGAAAAAAAAGCTGCTGAGTTTCTAATGATAATATATGTAAATCTTATGACAGTTTCTTTCCATCACAATTTTATAAAACAGGAAACAAGTTCTGTGTTGCTCTTGACAAATGGAAAATGGATTTAGCTTCCACATTTTGCATATTTATTCACTAATTGTGATATGCTGAAAAGAACGGGCCTGCCCATTAATGGATGGGCTATAAAGAGTTGAATATTAAAGTTGCTAATTAAATGCTGATTTTCCCCCCCCCTACACCACCTTTCCCCTCTCCTTCACAGTGCATCTGACTCAGTGTTGAGAAGGTGACAGATTTTATTTTTATCCTGTTCGAGCTTTGAGATGAAATCTTCATGTCCTTGAAGCAAACAGCTAAACCACATTAGTCTCAGCCAAGCCGAGATTCCCGGGGACCCGTCTCCGGTCCTGCTGTAGCCTTGCCTGTTTCCAAGCATCTGTTCATCTTCTTGATGCTGCTCAGGCTTTGCTACAGTTAGCTATGCTTTTTAAAGGCCTGTCATCCAGTAATGGCATATCTAATTTCAGAAGGAGGATCATTATAGGTGCCAGATGTTTGCAAAACTCAGGTACTGCCCTCTGTGCGTCTGCCCAAGGAGACATGTCCAGGGCAAAGCGAGGTGCCTGACCCCACAGAGAGTTGCAGCCGGCCTCGGAGGTCTCCATTCTACTTAAAGAGCGTTAAAGCCAAACACCAAATTTCAGGGAAAGCTCGCACTACTCTTCCCGATTCATGACCCATCTCGTAGGCTCCCGTAAATACCTGCTTGCTTAACAGCTAACTTGCTTGTGCCAATGCTAGTTGTGTTGGGTGAAGAAACTAAAAGCAAAATAACAAAGTAACAGTGCATATGTTTCATCACTTCTATAAGAGACAGATTTCTGGGTCTAAAGTCACTGTTTAACTACTCTAGAGCATTTTCAGTGATCAGAGCATGACCGCTTCTGTTGTCGTAGCACGTGTCTTCAGATGGTGCACTAACACAGCTGTTCACCTGTGACTGTAACTTGCAGCCCAATCCATCGAGCAGCGGCTGATGAAGATCGATCACACAGCCATCCACCCACACTTACTTGATATGAAGATCGGCCAAGGGAAATACGAACAAGGATTCTTCCCGAAGTTGCAATCGGATGTCTTGGCAACAGGACCCACCAATAACAAGTAAGCACAGGTTTTATTTCCTGGATTGGAAAGCAGGTTTCTCATATAAAAGATTCACATCACTGGACGGTAGTCCTAATTTTGGATGGCTTCTGACCACTCTAATGAACCCTAGCAGCTCTTTCCATTTCTGGTTTGTATGCGCTGTGATTTTTGAAGTTATAGCCATGGTTTGGGTTATGTTAGAAAGCACTGCCTCTGGTTTGGGGAAGATTCCTCAGTACTGGGTTCTGTTGAGTGGAAAGTACTGTGTCTTCTCATATATATTTTTAGTTTTATCATTGCCATAATAAATTTAAAATTAATTTCTTTGCTGTTTTGCACTGAACAGGATAATTTGGAAACCCAAGCCAAAGTTCAGATTCTGAAAGAAAGTATGGTATTGAAACTGCCACACCATCATGCAGAATGAAATTAATGCCCACTCTTTTCCTCACTTTTCTTTAGATGTTATTATGTGACCCAAAGATTTTTATAGCTGTCTTTCAGTTTCCACATTGGAATAACCTGGAAGAATAACTTGGTGAGGGTGGAAAGTATGTGGTTCTGTACCTGGGTTTCTCTTCTGAGTCTGATAAGGTTCTGTAGTGCACTTTGATATGAAGGTAGGGGAGCCTATAACTGTGGAATTGAGCATGTAAAACATAGTTTATTTACCTAATGTAAAATGACAGCCTCAACATTGATACACTTTACATTTATACCATTATGAAGTAAGTGCTGTAAGTTACTTTTTTTTTTCCTTTCCTCCCTCAAAACCCAGGGCGGGGGAGGTGTTCTCCACCTTCAAAAATGGAACCTTTGTGCATCAATGATTATTACGTCATGAAATTATTACCTCAAGCCCTTACTTCCAGTTTCTGTGGTAGGTCAAAATGTGGGAGCACAGATAAATCTGAGAGCTCCAAATGCTGTGATTGTCCAGATGTTAAAGCTAGCTCTTGTTTTAGACATGTGCATGTACACATGCTTCTCTGAGCTCCTGTATGAGGTGCCCACTCAATTCTATTTATACACCTTTTGTGCACCCCAGTGCTAGCTAATCCCTTTTTAATAACTTACTAGAAATAAGACTAGCAAATGATAAAATAAGATATCCTTAAGCATTGAGTGTTTAAAGAATTGCAATTATTTAAAAGAAATTAAAAAACCCAAACAAACAAACAACAAAACAAACAACCCACAAACCAACCAAAAGGAGGATATTTCAAGGTTCCTTTGTTTGGCAGCTTCTTGCAAACCGAGACAAAAGTTTATGGGTAATGGTCCCTTGAGGAATGGAGAATTTCTTCATCTTGTGGAATGCGGTGTTTAGCATTCTACCTCTTATCCTTATGGTGGGTTTCAGCTTTACAGTGTCAGCAACAGCGTGAGCATGCCCAGCCTGCTCAAAGTTGCTTATATCTTCTGGCTCTATTGCAGAATCTTAGTGAATCTATGAATAAGCATCAAATTAAAAATAGTTTTCCTTATGCCTTTTGAGATGCTTCTGTTAGATTGGTACCTATTCTACGATGTCACTTTAACTCCTTGAGTGATAATTTTGATTTAGATAGCTGGTTTTGATCTTCAGATTGTAGCATGTTTCAGAATCTCTAAGTACCAAAATCCCATTACTTACCGCAAAGCGGTGTCAAAGTGACAAATGTTTGGAATTCCTCCAGTTGTATATTGCCAAAAAGGTTTGTAATTGGAAAATCTCAAGACCATCTGTTTATATCTTTCTGCTTCCTGGCTTTTTATGTGAGCAGCTGAGCAGACTCTCTTTCTCTCTCATTTAAGATATGAAGTTCTGCTGAATTTACACCCACGTATAAAACAGATAGTCTTTTCATGCTCTCTGCAAATACAATGTAATTCTTTTGACCACAAAATCAATTGAAGTGTAGCCTTCCATTAATTTGAATTTCCCAGTGTATGCTTCTTGGAGATAGATTATACTTGCGTATACAACTGGGCCTTTGCGTATGGGGGTGGGGGAAGAGAACATTTCTACCCCATTCCCCGGCCCTTCAGATGTAGCTATTGTGTGTTCATAATGTTAATGCAAAGGTTATTGCTATGTAGATGAGAAGTATTTTTGCAAACTTCAGTTTCACATAGCAAAATTTGTCTTGAATGTTGTAAGGAAGTGTATTTGCAGGGGAAAAAAAACCCAAAAACATTTCCATGCTCCAGTTGATTGTTGTTGGACAGTTAGCAAATAAACTGATATAAAGCTGTTTTAATGAAAACCTGTCCTTACTGGCCAACAATCAGATTTTTATTGCTTCCCTTTCTGGACAGATAAAGTAACAAACATATAACTGGAGCTCATAATGTTATCTAGCCATTCCCTTCCTGTGGTCAGGCAGAGCACTGAAGGGACCTCTGTCGGTTACAGTATACAGTTACATGTATAATATACCTAAATCAGAAATATAATGCAAAGACCATGAGCTCTGGTTTGTTTAGTCTTACATCCCATCTGAGATCCCAGAAGACACGTTGCCTAGACAGGCAGAAATTGTGTTTGGGAGAGGAGGTGTCTGGCTCTTGCTTGCTGGGCACAAAGAGCAGGGCTTGGGGACAGAGGCGGGGTTGACAGTCCTATCAGATCACTTCCACCTAAACACAGCTGGAAACAAATGCTGATCACATTACCACGTGTAAGTGTTAAAACACCAAAGTCTGTCATAGAAGTGAGGTCTAATAATCTCTCTCATCTGTCAGCCCGTGGCCACACTCAGCAGCATGCCTTGCCCCACTTCTGTCACTCTGCTGCCTCCTCCCGCTCCCCCCCCAGGTTGTCCTCTAGAAAAGAGGGGGTGAACCAGTGCACCTCTGGCCCCGGCCAGTGTCACACTGCTTGCTGCTTTCTGTCATCACCTTGGTCATCTGTGGCTTGGGAGAGCCTCGTTTTACATCTGCTCCTATTTTGGCCAGACTGCAGGTGTATGCTTACTGTCATTAGGGCTGGTCTTTACCTCTTCCCTTGTGGTGTAAGGAGACATTGACTTCTTCAGCTAAGCAAGAACTTCACTGAAAATAACTCCACACTGCACTTTTTACTGAAAAGAAATAAAAAGTTTAAAAACAAATAAATGAAAAAAAAACAAATAACAAAAAGTCCAAGCAAAGAAAAAAAAACACCCCAAACCCCCACCTCCATGAAACTGGAGAATAGGCTCCCAGGTATACAGTTTCCCTAAGCATCTTTTTGACCAAAACTGCCAGAACATGGAAAGAGATTAACTGCAGAATATGCAGATCTAAACTTAAGCAAAAGATGATAACTATTGTATCAAAATATTTCTAGAAATTAAAAGAAATATTATTTTTCTGTAAAGAAAAGAGCAATTCATCCTAGCTAAAAACAATTAAAAAAATTAAAAATGACCCTTGCCCAGTTCTGTCCTCTTTCCCATCAGGCAGCAATGTCTCACTTGAGGGACTCCGTCTGCACTCGTCGCCTTCAATACATCCCCCATGTCATGGGAAAACATTCTGAACCTACAGACAACAGCTGCAGCTTCCTCTGGGTACAAAAGTGGCCCATCCATGCTGCTCTAACCTTGTAAAGCAGTGGCTTCTGCAGAAGTCCTCCTAGAAAGCATCCCAGGAGAAAACAGGCTGCAGTCCCTTAGGCAGTTTGTCTATTTATCTGGAAATGAGCAGCGTTTTCCGGAGTGTTCCTTTCCTTCTTCAAACCCCAGCACCACATTGTGGTTTCTACATGTTCCCCTCTTCCTTCCCTGTGTGCATTTTCTGCCAGGCTTTTAAAATTGTAGCTGGGACTCCACTGGCTGACGCATTCGCAATGATCCAGGAAGGGAATTTGAATGACAAAAAGCCAAGCTACATAAACACTTCATGGTTTTTGATTAGCTAATTCTTAAATTAGGATGAGTATGCTTACAGTGCAAAATTAAAACAATGAAACAAGCTGTGTTTTCAATCTAATTGATTACCTTGTAACTTAATTTGTACTAAGAAGCTTGATAAATGAGATTAAATATTGCAGAGGAAAGCACTGATTGCACACCAAGCATGAAAATATATTTGCATTCTGGCAATTTGTAGTGAATGTCTGCAAAGAACAGCTGATCTGATTTTTTCCCCTTAATTTCTTTTGGTTTCCAAAGGAAGTTTTTGCTTTGTTACACATTTACAAAATGGCTTAAATTATCCTTTTTTTTGTCTTTCTCTTTGTTTAGTCTTGGTTTTCCCACCTTCTTTATTTGCGCCTCACTTTCTTCCTTGCTTCTTCCCCTCATCGGCCTGTTTCCTCCTTCCTGCCCTGGCCACTTCTTTCTCCTGAGCCCTCTCACTTGTATCCCGGCCTCCTGTGAGCTTCGTGCTTTTGTCTGTCCTCTGTGTCCTACCTGACCTGCAGCGATCCTCAAAGGAGGGCGCAGCCCAAGTCTTCGAGCACAGATCCCGCTACACTCCCAGCCTCAGGCTTTAGCTAAGTGATGTGTTGTTCTCACCCATAAAGCAGATTTCAGAAGTACTTGTTTGCTTTCTCCAAGCATTTGTTCCTGTGCCGTGTTTTGCTGACGTCACCACTGTGTCAGGAGTCATTTGTAAAATGTGTGCATTAGGAGTGTACGAAATTGGTCCATTTTTGTGCTCCAGTTTATGGGACAACTTGTGCGAGCACTGTCCTGTGGCCTCCATCTCCAGATCCCACTTCAATTTGTGAACTGCCCGAGGTTTCTCTGCCTGGTGCTCTGGTTCTCCTCTTTTTTAAATAGGACTACTGTTTGCTTATTCACTAACGTTAACATTGGTTAATGTTTTTAAAGAAAGTATATTT